CGGCGGAGAGGTCGACGGTGGCGTGGTTGACGGCGTGCTTGGAGGCGGCGGAGAGGACGAAGGAGTGGACGGCGGAGGAGCGGAGGGAGTCGCCGGGGTTGACGGAGGTGGCGCGGAGGGAGTCGCTGGAGTTGAAGGTGGTGGAGAGGACGGAATTGCCGGCGGCGGAGACGAGGGAGTTGCTGGAGGTGGCGCGGAAGGTGTGGCGGGCGGAGGAGCGGAAGGCGTAGCCGGAGTTGACGGCGGAGGCGCGGTGGTGTTGGTAGACGGCGGCGAAGACGGCGCTGGAGCGGTTGACATTGCTGTGTATAATTATAATTATACAAACTAAAATGTGAGATCGAAAAACAAAGAGAAATCGAAGATTAAGATTGAAGCGAATAAGGTTTTTCGTTTATGTCTCTGTGTGACTCTGTGTATCTGTTTCTCTCTCTTAAATGTTTCGAATAGAGAGAGAGAAGAGAGACAGTGGAGAATGGTTTGAATCGAAGTGAGAAAGCGTTTTATGCGAAAAAACCGCACCTATCAACCTTTGAAGCTGTTTCTCTGCAACACTGACACTGTTTTTTTTCCTTTTTCTTTTTTATTTTTTTTATTCGAATTCACCATTGGTTAAGCCAACCAGCGAAGACAAACACGTACGTGGGACCCACACGTGTGCCCCGGCCCCGCGTACCCTTCTTCTTACAATTAATTAATTAACCAATTAATTTCCATTATTCATCATTACTTTTATGATTTTTTCCAACTTCCTCTTTTTATTTTAATATATTTTGCTCCTCTGTCCGTTCGGTCATTGGTCCATTAAGACTTTGCTGTTTTGCATTTTTGTCACTCAATAAAATTAAATTATCTAATCTTTTACGCGTTGATGTGAAAATGAATTATTGACTTTCAGCTTCTATATATGTTAATAGCATCAATTTTCTTTTTTATTTAAACCTTAGCATATGGGTGCAACCGAGGTAAAGTCGTGAAGAACATGACAAAAGGCCTGCACAATTGCACATGACAGTTGAAGACTCAAATATCGTAAACAAATTGTGCCACGTTTTAATTAAAAAAACCAAATTAAGGTATGTTTGAATCGGGTATTCAACCGTTAAGCACACTCTTCGCTGCAAAAGTCAAGTAAAAAATTGTGAATAGCCATGAAAGGTCGTGTTCTACAGCATGTGCTATCTCAGCTTCCTTGTGTTCCAAATGCTTCCAAAAAATAATACTCATGTAAGACTTCAAAATCATAACGTGTTTAATAATTAACACCGCGATTACAGGCCTTGAGCCATGAAATCTAAGAAGATCGAGAAATAGTGCTATCTCATATTTCATACCTTTCTATTTTTAAGGTCATCATGTTTTTTTATTATCTTAACCTGCATAGCATATATGATTGTATTGTATGGCCAGTTTAGCATTAATTATCCTTTCCCTTTTTCTATTACACTGATTATTCGATTAAATTTTACTTTAATTTTAACTACAACACACACTAACTTTAATGATCACTAATTTTTAGTAGGTAAATTTGGCTGATCTTTTTAGTAAAAAAAAATTCTAATCACATTTTGTAATTTACTAAACTCGACTTTGCTTAAGAAATATTTATCAATTTTCGTTCTTAATAATATTTAATCTATGATTTGTATTCCTAATTTTTAATTTCTTAGTCATAGTGTTTTAATTTTATAAAACTTTCACATTTTTTTAACTATTAAATATTTTATCCATTTGAAAGTTAGATTTGTAACATAATTTGATATTGAGTAGATAACATGATAATTAATATGGTGAAGTGCAACATAAACGTCTCTGTTTTTGCATATTTGAGCACTATGTAGGAGTGAGCACCAATCCGAAACTGAAGAAATCAAAAGAAGAAAAAAAATATAAATGGGTAGGTTAGAACGGGTTATCAATTTAGATGGGTTAAAAATATAGTTTAAAATAATTAATTTCGATCAGGTCAAGTTTTTAGATTCATTGGTACCTGAACTCAACCGTTCAAATAAAATAAAGATCAAAGTAATTATCATTTAGACCCAAAAGTTATGCTTATTTTGACTCATCTTTATTTTTTATTGTTGATGCACAAAAAATTGCAATTGAGGATGTAGTTTGTAAATTCCTTTAATATATCATGTACCTAAAAAAGGTTATTATAATATTTAAATTATTTAAAACTTGAAAATTTTTATTAATTTTGACTCTAAATAAACTAAATAATATTTGAATGACTAAATGTATTAAAAAAAGATACAAGAAATGAAAAGAGAGAGATAATAAATTGGATAAAAGTTTTATTTGGACCAATTAAATGATTCAAAACTCAATACATCTTTACCCGTAAAAAATCGCATGATAAAACAAGACCTACTCAAATCGAAACTTGCCTAAATCGATAAATCATACGTCTAGTTCAAGTCTAAATAATACAAATTGGGTTATATTAATTTGGACTTGGCTCGAAACCAACTATACCCAACCGTTGATCACTCCTAGTACTATGGCATGGGAACTAGTATTCAAAATGAAAAGGGTGAATTTGTTTTAGTAATGACATCTTACCATCCAAATAACCTTTTTGATCATGAAACTAAGACATTATCTCTATTGACAACAATTACTTGGGTCATTAGTATGTGTCTCAACAATGTCAATTTTGAACTTGGCTGTGAGCAAAATTTTAATGACATACACTCTAACTCCTATATAAATAGTGAGTTTAGCCTTATTGTGACTTTATGTAAAAGGAAATTTAGTTTGATTCACAATTCTTCGGTGAGTTTTGTTCGTAGACAAATCAATCAAATTGTTCATACTCTAACAAAATGTATAGTTTTATCTTAAATATTATTTATTACATACCTACGGTAAATGTTCCATTTTAATCATTAAAATGTGAAAATTTAATGATTAAACTTAAAATTATGATTTTTTTTTAATTTAAAGACTAAAATTATATGATTAAAATTAGGAGACAAATATTAGGAATTATGGAGACCAAACTTACTATTTATCCTAATTATTTTAATCGATATTTGCAATTACTTCTCACCAATATTAATAAAACTCAGGAACCTATACTTGGAATTAACCCAACAAATTCAGTTGGTACTTGAATGCAAAAATTAAAGCATCATTGTGTCTCTTCCTCTTGTAGCCTTTCATTCCCCAGAAGCAGAAGGAAACTAAAATTTTGAAATACGAAAGCCAGTTGTCTAAACTACCCCTTATTATAAGGTTATTTTCCCATGATTGGTTAATTGAGAGCGAGTCAAAGATTAGGTAACCCATTTTATGTATATGTATATACTATGCAGAAAGAGTAAGTTCTTTTTTAAATAACAATATAGTTGCTGTTACTCTAAGTAAGAGTTAAATGACCAGCTGGATAACAATAGCCAACAACGGGGCATGACATCGACATCCTTACTCACAATATACAGAAAAGATAAATTGTATTTATACAAATTTTTTATATAACAAAAGTTAAAACCCTTATTTACTCCTTTATAATATTTTTTTGTTTTAATTTAGTTTCACTTTAATTTTTTGTTTTAATTTGGTTCCCAATAATTTAAATTATTGCAATTTGATACTTTCGTCCAAATGATTTAAACAAAGTTAACTGTTGGCCACGTGGATGTTAGGTAGATGCCACGTAGATGGATGTCAAATTTCTCGAATACACCTTGAACCAGAATTCTGGTTACACTATTGGTGTGTAAATTTGACATCTGAAACGGGTCGTTCTGAATCCAGAACGGCCCGTTCTAACACCAGAACGGACCGTTCTGGCCTGTTCCAATTGCAAAACTAACGCATAACTTTTGCATTCAGAACGTCCCGTTCTGGTTTCAGAATGGACCGTTCTGGTTCCATGCGTATTCATGAAATTTGGCGTCTACCTATGCATCTACGTGGCATCCACCTGGCATTCATGTGACTAACATTTAACTCTGTTTAAATCATTTGGACGGAAGTCCCAAATTACAATAATTTAAATTATTGGGGACCAAATTGAAACCAAAAATTAAAATGAGACTAAATTAAAACAAAAAAAATATTATAAGGGACCAAATAAGAGTTTTAACCTATAACAAAATATTATACCACATAGAAAGAGTCAAAGAGATATCAAAAATCATATTAAAGAAATTATTATTGTTCCGGTAGAAACATAGAGAGGACTATCATAACAGTGTAGATCATCACCGGAAAATCTCGGTCTTAGAAAAATACACACAAAGTAAGAACGATGAGTGTTAAAAAATTTAACATTTAATACTTTTGTGTGTATTTTTTTTCCTACCAAAAATTTCCGGTATGAAGAGGATACACTCGCATGATACGGTAGCATTCAATTGAAATTGAAAAAAAGTGCATTTCTAGTGATCATACATATTCCTTTAACCATCCTTCTTCTTTTTCTCCTTTTTTTGTAGTAATTTTTCTCGTATTAGCTACTAAATCATATTTCATAATTTTTTTAGATATTTAAGTTATTTTACCATATTATGAATTGTTAATTGGTAACTCTTTTACTACAAGATCTCAGATTTGGAATTCACAATTGAAAATGTTCCTCGATCAAAGAATTAGGGTATACATAATTCTCAATCTCAAACCAAAAATAAGAAGTTAGTGTCATTTGATTGATTTCCTTGATTGTTAACTTAAGAGAGAGTATACAATTCCAAGTCAAAATCGAAGAGATTACTATCATTTAGTCTATCAAAAACCTAAAGGTAATCCTAAGTATAAGTTAAAAGCGAAGAGATTAATGTCATCTGACGGGTCTTCTTGATTGGAGACCTATAAGGATATATAATTAAAAAAGTATAAATAGTTCAAAAATGATGCATCCTCTACAAGCATCTCTCGAAACGTATTTTGATCCGTTGATTTTCATGTATCATTTAACAAATTAATTATAAATAAAAAATTTCTTATGTAATCGAAGAAACTTTTGGATGCTGTTTTCAGAGGATATAACATCACTCTAAATAATTTAATTAACCCAAAATTTAAACATGCATATTCAAATATTATCTTTTACTCATGATAATATGTTGTAGTAAAACACCTTAAAAGCGATGGTCATGATTAATTCATGTTAAGTTGATTATTTATCAAATATAAAAATGACAAAATATAACTTTTTACTATTAATTTAATATCTTTTATAGTAATCTTAGGAGCTCATTTATTCATTGTAATTTTTACTTGCATTATTTTTTTCTTTATTGTTGTTAGAGAGAAGATATATTTTTCATATTTATTTTATTTATTAACTAAAGTAGGACTTTTAAACTATTAGAGTTAGCCAAAATAGATGAAAAAAAGGAGTTAGAATATGTGCATGAGAATCTAAATTTGATTCGTATTGTGCTTTTGTAATCTTTTTATGGATTAAAAAAAAAAAAAAGACATGACTAAAATTGTATAAAAAACACCTAATTATAATAAATTGGCTAGATTTTTTTTTCTACAATCACAACAATAGATTTTAACCTAAAACT